AAAAAAGAAATCAACGTACCCAAATGTCATTACTAGAGCCAGGTTCGTCGACAATGCGTTTGTCCTTGGGAGAGCGACCTGTTTTGAACCCAGAGGCAGTGACCAAGGCGCCGGTGGAAGAGATGGCAGAGCCAGTCTCATACTTCAAAGCATCTTCGTATAACTGAGCGACCGATGGATTCCATTGAATAGCAACACGGTCATAATCAATGTGTGCGTTTTCGTGAAGTTCTTCTTCAACCCTGGTGTGGGTATGCGTCGACATGGTTTTCGCTGGATTACTGATAGAAGAGTAAGATGAATATTTTTTCAACAAAGGATTACAAGGCGAAACAATATTATAATTTGTATATTTTATTGGAAGCTGTTTAGAAAATTGTCTTGTCAATAAATGACTCGAAAGCTGAGGTTTATATAGAAAACGTAATAAGTTCATCTTGTAGTTAATCGTAAAAATGACAACAGGTGAGAGATTAACATAATCAAAGGGTTATAAGTAAGTACATACGTATGCGCTTTATACTCCGAATTACTTGTTTGAAATGAACTTCATAAAATTCATATAAATAACTTTTTATTAAAAACCCAGTATGCACTTCATGCATTCTGACTGATTATCGGAAAAGTTCGGCGAAAAACTAAATTAAGGAAATCCACTATTTTCGTCGATTTCGCAATAAGGTATTTTTATATATTTGAATTGACTGGCCTGTTTGTGACCTTTCTTTTTTTGGTTTAACCATTTTGTAGTTTTTTTTTTTATATGCACTGCACTTGAACATTTCTAAGCCACCGATAACCGTCTAAAGTTCTTTTCTCACGTTATCCTTGACTGGCCGGTAGAAGAATCGGTAATGTGTCAATAATTTGTGCGACATTTATGCGAATAAAACGGTCGAAATTGATGTACTGTATATTTGAATTTTCCCGACTGGGGAACTAACTGCCTTCTAAAAAGATCGTCTGTGTCAGAACCTATCAGAAGACTGCATATTATTATTATGTACA